GGGGGAGGGCAAGGAAAAAGGCACGCCAAATTAGAAAAGCAAGCGCCTCATTACTCCACATTTAAACCAGCTTTGACAGAGGCACTGGAACTCATAAGATGCGTTTCGCTGGGTTGGGATGGGCTGTTTTGCAGCCATCCCGCACATTCAATGTCAGCCATTAGTTCTTCCCAATCGGGCATCAATGTTCAACGCACACCCGAAAAAAGTATATAATACTAGTAATAATAATAACAATCTGCAGCCTCTCCGAGCTTCAATACTTGAAGTATGAGTCAAAGAAGCAGTTTCACTTTTCACTCGGGAAGCTGACAAGCATGACTAGAGGGGGAATAAAATAACATTCAGTTCGCATAAATATCAAGCAGGCTGCTTGAGACTGATGGGCCAGGAATGTATTCTTAGCCATCATTCTGGCAGACAGGCCCAAGGACACTCATAACTTATTTTACAATCATTTAGTTTCAGCTCAAGTGGAAAACGTGACAACTTATCTCTGCTGACAAGATGCCATATCGAACCTTACAATTAACTCTCCCACGATTATCTGCCCAGCCCATCATTAGCTTTGCAGTTTTTGATGGACTGTACAGGGAGCTTTCCTTGATGATGGTCATCATTTGCAGGGTGTATATCTATTATACAACATTAAGGACAGAACTCTCCCCTTGTCATGTAGCCAGGGTTGTCCTGACCAGCACATCCTCGGTTCTGCAACTGCAGGGCTATGTTTCTAAGTGATGGGCAGCAACACGCTGATGAAAAATGCCTTCTCCTCCAAAACGGAGCATCACCGTGCTCCAGCCTATGCCTACTGCTGCATGCAACCTGCAGAAGAGAGCTAGAGATGCCCATGCCCTCTTCCAGCAAACTGCCAGCCTTCCTCCCTGCCCTCTCTCCCTAGTGCAATTACTAACTCTTCTCAGCTGTGAGAGCTGACACAAGCCACATCCTTGCAGTTTATCTCTGCAAGCTCACAACACAATAAGGAGGATGCCATGAATTTCACATGCATGTTCAGTGACTTTCCGTACTGATGAGAAAACGCATTTCTCATGGAAAGGTGCGTTTTTAGCTTCGCAGGGTTATGAAATAATGCCAAGCTTATAGCAAGGGATAGGAGAGCTTCTATACAAACCAGTATGACAAAGTACAGGCGCTCATTCCAGAAAAAGTACTAAAATCGTGAATTCAGAGTATATTGAGGGTAAGTTTACATCTCTGCAAGCTATTTGAGGCCATTTAAAAAGTATTTTTAAAGCAGCTCACTCTATGCCCAGGAGCAACAAGTGACTCTTGGTAACCACAGCCCTTTAGTTATTAAGAGAGAGGATATTAAAAAACTGACCACTCTGTTGTTAGCATGGTGATTTTTCCCTATAGGCGCATGACACATGGGGATAAGACAAAGATTCTGCTTGTTCAAGTCCAATTCTCATCTGCTAAAAATGACAAAAGGAAAAAAAAAAGCCAATGCAGCTTTTTTTCCCAGAAAGCAATTCCCATGCCTGCCTCTCCCCCAGATGCATTTTGTAAATACAGTCATAGAATCATTAGGCTAAAGTAGACCTCTAAGATCTTCAAGTCCCAACGTTGACCCAATACCACCATGCCCACTAAACCACGTACCAAAGCGCCACATCCACGTGTTTTTTGAACACCTCCAGGGACGGTGACTCCACCACTTCCCTGGGCAGCCTGTTCCAGTGTTTGACCACTCTTTCAGTAAAGAAATTTTTCCTAATGTCTGACCTAAACCTCCCCCGGCGCAACTTGAGGCCATTTCCTCTTGTCCTACCGCTTGTTACTTGGGAGAAGAGACCAACCCTCACCTCAGTACAACCTCCTTTCAGGTAGTTGTAGAGAGCGATAAGGTCCCCCCTCAGCCTCCTCTTCTCCAGACAAAACAAGCCCAGTTCC